GGCCGGCGGCTACATGCTCGTGCCGGGCATCGGGAAGCCGGCGGGGGATCCGCACCGGCGGTGGACGGTGACGGAGATCCCGAGCTTCAGCGAGGTGTCGCCGAACCTCAAGGAGGAGGCCATCGCGCTCGTGCGCGACGCCTACGTCGAGCCCGAGCGCAACCGGAACAACGGCTACCGGTGGAAGCCGGACCACATCTTCGAGGGTGAGGAGCGCGAGCGGCGGGAGGAGGGCGGCGACCTGCGCGACGCCTACGGCGTCTGCGCCGAGGCCGCGTCCTACGCGCAGCTGCCAATTGGCAGCGGGCAGCTGTTCCTCAACGGCTCCTTCGCCGACGGCGTCGTCTTGGACACGCACGGCGTGAGCGGCATCAGCAACGCGGACTCGACCTTCTGCGCGTGGGTGCAAAATTCGAACGACTACACTCTCACCTACGATTACGAGATAGAATCCAAGCTCACGTACGACTCGGTGCGCATGCTCGCGGCTGTCCTCAACTGCGTCGGCAGCGGCCAGCTCTTCCTCCTCGCGACCTCGCACCTGCTGTACTACATGACCGTCACGTTCCGCTGTCGGGACCGCAACGCGCTGCTCTTCCTCGCAGAGCACTGGTCTCTGGGCGGCACGAAGGCCAAACAGTTCGAGCTTGCTTTGCTGGGCCTGCGCGAGGCACAGTTGGGCAACCGGCTGAAGCCGTACCTCGACCTCCGAGGCCTGCCGGAGTACGCCGTGATGGGCGACGAGACGCGCAAGGCGGCGATCACCGCCGTGCGCAACGTCATGTTCTACGCGCTCAAGCAGGGCAAAGGCCGGGACGGCCAGACCTGGACCTCGACGCCCGCGGCGGTGACCTTCTACTACAACCTCGCGGTCGCCTCCGGCCGCGACTCCTTCTTCAAAAATCTGTCGTGGTTCTTCGAGGGGGACGGCGGCGGCGGAATTTATTTACACGCTGATTCTCGGATCCGCTATCAATTGTCGCTCTACCAGAGCGACCAGGGATGGTTACAGGCCATGAGTGACGCTTTGGAGCATTACGGCTTCCGGAAGCTCAGCATATTCGATGTTCCGGAGTATCTGGATTACGACGATTTCAAACCGAGGACGAAAAAGGCGTTCCGAGCGCAGTTATCATCTGAATGCTCTCGCCTCGCGACCGCGCTCTTCCGCTGCTACGAGGAAGCCGGGGCCGCGGATTTCCGCAAGGCGTCGATCCTGCGGATCATGATGGACAACGAGCATCCGAACCAGACTGCGCTCGACCAGTTCCGAGCGCTCTAGGCGCCCCTCTAAAGAAAGTTATCGATTCTTCGACAGCCCTAACGCTACGCGCAGGCCGTCGCGTGGAGGAGCCGCTTGGACACGCGGGACGAATTCGCGAGGTCCGCCTGGAGCATGTAGGCGTGGAAGTGGGTCACGCGCTCGTCGCCCGGTCGCCCGGCGTTGTACTCGCCGCAGAAGTAGCCGTAGACGCGGTCGAGCTCGCCGGGCGGCGCGTCGCCGTCGCCGAGCATCGGGAACGACCGCCAGCGGCCGCGGCGCGCGGCGCGTTTCGGCATGGCCCAGGACACGGGCGCGCCGTAGTTCCAGAGGTCGACGACGGCGCCGTCGACGCGCCGCGCGGGCATGATCTCCCAGGTCACGTGGTCCTCGCTGCCCGCGAAGACGTTCCAGCGGTTGTGGAACACCGCCGTCAGCGGACTCCGCGTCGCGTCCTGGCACTGCCTCGCGAAGCGGTCGTGCCAGACGCAGGCGCCCGCGAAGGCCAGCAAGACCAGGACGCGGAGCCCGTCGCGGCGCGTCGACCGCGCGGGCGCCGCGGGCGGTCCGACGGGCAGCGCCGGAACCCACGCGGCCGCGGCGAAGACGGAGAGCAAGCCCGCGCCGTTCATGGCGGCGCCGATGCCCGCGTGCATGGCGAAAACGGCGCCGATGGCAACCCACTGGACCGTCGTCGACCCGGCGAGGGCGCCGACGGCGCAGAGGAGCGGCGCGGCGAGCTCGACGACCGGCACCGTCGGCGTCAACGCGCGGAGGCCGCCGGGCCCGAGGAGCGCGCGCAGCGCCTCGCCGACGGCCGTGTGGCGCAGGTAGGCGTCGAGCGCCGGGACGCGCGCGTCGGACGCCCAGCCGCGGTCCGGGTCGGCCCGCTTGGCGTAGCCCGCGTCCCAGTAGATCCACGCGAGCTGCGCGCGGTACAGCGCCGCGGCCGCGAGCCCCGCGGCCGACCGCGGCTTCGCCGGCGCCAGCGCGACCCAGAGCAGCAGCAGGTGGGCGTAGCGGTCGAGGATGAAGGCGAGGCGCGCGTGGCGCGCCGTCGCCGACGCGTAGAGCCAGAGCGAGAGAACGGCGCACGTCCGCGGCGCCGCGTCGACGGCGAGGAGCAGCCCCAGCGCGAGCTGGGACACGGACAGCAGCTGCTGCCAGCGCAGGGACCCGCTCCAGGCGTGGAGGCAGACGGCGCGGTGCAGCGGGTCGTCGCCGACGTCGTCGCGCCAGGCGGCGACGGGCAGCACGCCCGCGTCGCTGTAACAGGCGCGCAGCACGCCCCAGCGCTCGACGACGCTGAGCGCGACGCAGATGCCGAAGCAGCGCCGCGCGAGCGCGAGGGCGCGCGGCCGCAGGTACATCGTTGCTCAAGCTGCGGTGTTGTTCAAGGCTTGCTCACACAGCCATCGGGGAGCACTGCAATGCGAGATCAAGGACGGCTTCAAGCGCCTCGGCAGCCCTTCGACGACGGGCAGCTCTCCCGATTCGAACACCGGACGATGGCCAGCCTCGACGAGAACGCGCCGCCGGCGGCGACGATGCCGCCCGCGCCGCCGGCGCCGACGACGCCGTCGGCCCTGGACGGCGAGAGGGACATCTTGGACGACCAGTTGGACCTCTTGACCGGCTCCATGGTCGGCGCCGGCGAGCTCGACGCGACGGCCGTGGAGCTCGCGGGGCTCCTCGTGGAGAAGGGCGACGACGCGTCGTCGCTGCGGGCGCACCGCGTCCTCGCCGAGTGCGGCGTCCAGCTCGGCTGCTGGGGCCTCGGCGAAAGGCCGAAGCTGAAAAACGCCGCGGACCTCGACAAGCCCATGGGCGCCTTCGTGCTCAAGCCGTCGGCCAGGTCGAAGCTCCTCGACGACTCCGTCGCCGCGCCGAAGACGCGGCCGGAGCCGCGGGCGAGCTCGACGACGTCGCTGCGCGGCGCGCCGCCGATCGCGGACGACCTCGACCCCGTCGCGCCGCCCGCGGCGAGCGAGCCCAAATCGCTCGCGGACTTCCTGAAGCCGTAGGGCGGCGGCCACGACGCTTACACTTTGGAGGGGGGGGAGACACAGGGGCGGGGTCGTCAGCAGACGAAGGACGACGTCGGCGTCCGCGGCGACGTCGGGTCGCAGTCCGCGGCCCAGCTGGAGAAGGAGACGCGGTCCAGGTCGTCGTCGTCGTCGATGCGGATGTCGCCGAGGAGCTCGTCCACGGAGCCGCGCGCGAGGAAGGCGGCCGCGGCCGCGATGCGCCGCAGGTCGTTCCCCGAGGCGGACGACGACGTGCGCACCGGGGGCGGGCGGCTCGGCGCCCAGGCCCGGGGCGCGGAGACGGATTCGGCGAGCACGGGGTTCTTCATTTCCGGGAGCAACGGCGCCGGATGCTCGCCGGCGACGCGCGCCGTCGCGGGCCGGCGGACGATCGCCGGCGGCGAGATCGCGCGCCGCGGAAGCGGGGGCGGCGTCGTCGTCGGGAGGAGCGGCGGCGCCGGCGCCGCCGTCGGGAGGAGCTCCGGCGCCGCGCGTCCGCCCGGATGGTAGGACTGGCGGCGCCGCTTCGCGAACGTTCTCAAAAAGGATTCCGTCGCGGCGGCGCCGTGTGCCGCGGCCGGCAGATCGCTCTTCGGGTCGCACCAGCGGGCCGGTTCGAGCGCGTCGGCGGGAAGGTCATCGAAGGCCGCGGCGCGAGAAATGATGCTCGGTTGGGCCATGCCGACCACGGGAGAGCAGACGCCGCCAATTGGTTGTACGAGCCGCTCGTCGACCCCGAGTGCTCGCGCTTGGTGTGCACGTTTTTTTCGGGTGCTTCCACGCGCGCGGGAGTGAGAAACGCCCTGTGAGAATTGCTGCAGCGGAGCCGCGCGCGCCGCTGCGTCCGTTAGCCGCTGGCGCCGGGAATTCGCCTTCGGCGTCGATGACCGGAGAGCTCGCTCGTCCAGCCGGGGGTAGGCTGGGGGTTTCTGGGGGTCGACCGTCGCATCTCCACCGTAAAAAATCCGGCGGTCCGTGTCGCCATCATGCTGCTGCGGTGGTGGCGTCGCCGGGGAATTGTCCGGCGCAGCTGACTCGGAGGCTGTCACGGTCCTGCGGTGCCGCGGCCACGACCGGCCGGGGTCGGCCGCGGCGTCTTCCCGAAGGGGACCGGTCGGTTCGTGACCACCGCGCAAGCCCGCTTCGCGGCTCCACCAAGCGCGCGCAAGTTTCGAGCAGGTCTTTGCAAAAAATCACGGGCTAAAGGTCGACGTTGCTGCGAGCGTGCACTCGCGGCACTCGCGCACGCAACCTTGCAGTTTTGCGAAGTGGTCGGCCCCAGTGACGAACGATGAAGACTTTGAATTGGCTCCAGGCCGCCATGGCGCTCCTGCTCCCGACGCTCGCCGGCGCGTACGTGCCCTCCACCGCGCGGCTCGGTCGCGGCCGCGCGCCGTCCGTCACCCGGCGCGCGGTGACGATGAGGGATAAGCCGCCGATCGACGACGAGCGCCGCCAAAAGAGCCCTGGCATCCAGAACAACTTTTTCGACCAGTCGACCGCCGACTTCAAGCGGCCGCACGGCTCGAGGGGCCCGTCGCCGGGCATGCCCGGGCCGGGGGCGCCGCAGCAGCCGCCGCCCGGCGCGGGCGGCGCGCCCGGACCGAACGGGGTCCCCTACGCGCCTCCGCCGGGCGGCGCGCCCGGTCCCGTGGCCGTGGGGCCGGACGGCTCGCGGAAGATGTATTCGGTCAGCCAGGAGACGCCGATGCCGGGGCGCGAGCGCGAGTACCACGAGTTCCAGCTGGACATGGCCAACCGGGGAGACTACGCGCCGCAGCCGCCGTCCGCGGCGAACGAGTACTACGGCGGCGCGCCCGCGGGCGCGCCCGCCGCGCCCCCGCCCCAGTACTACCCGCCCCCGCAAGCCGGCGGCGCGCCCGCGGCCGCCGCGCCCGCGCCCGCGGCCGCCGCGCCCGCGCCCGCGCGGCGACGCAACCCGGCGGTCGACGACATGCTGCAGGCGCTCTACCAGAAGCTCGAGCAGGCGCGCCTCGACCTCCTGAGCTCGACGAAGGTCGAGGAGACCGCGCCGCTCGTCGGCCTCGTGAAGGAAATCTCCGAAGCGATCGCCAACCTCGAGCAGATCTGAGAGGCTTCCTTTGGACGCCTCTTGTCGTAAGTAGCGCCTCAAAAGATGTCGGGGCATCATGATTGCAGCAGAACCGCGCGCGCCGCAGCCAGCGGAATGGGCGACACAGAAGCCGCCGATTGGCGCGCCGGCGCAAGTGCCGGCGTGCCCACGCGGCGCCACCGGTCGGCTCCTCACCGGTCAAAAAGTTAGCTCACGCCCCAGTGCCCCCCGAGCGCGCCGCCCCCCGCGAAGGGCTCGGCGCCGCCCGCGCCGCCGCGCGGCGGCGGCGGCGGCCCCCGGGGCGCGGGCCCCGGCTCGTCGCCGTCGCCGCGGCCGTAGGCCGCGTTGTCCGCGTCGACGAAGGCCCGGAGCCCCGCGCGCCACGCCGGCGCGCCCCCCGCCCGCGGGCAGCCGCCGCCGATCCGCGCGTAGAAGAGCACGTAGGGCGACGCGGCCGCGGACCGCGGCGTCGACGGCGCGGCCGCGTCCACGGGCCGCACGTCCATGTCGTCGAACAGGGACCAGGCCGGCGGCCGCTCCGACGCGGCCACGTCGGAATCCGTCGCGTAGGCGTAGTAGTGGCCGTGGTGCGGCGACGCGCCCGCGTGGACGACGACCGCGTAGAGCGCGTAGGCGACGTCGCGCCCGTCCGCGGGCAGCCGGAGCACGCGCGGCGCGTCGACGGGCGTCGCCACTTTACGCCGCCGGTTCGTCGCCGCGTCGTAGCGGAAGCGCCCCAGGGAGACGACGAGGTGCGCGGGCATCGCGTCGAAGCGGCGCGTCCGCGTCGCGCGGACCTTGGCGGCGCACGCGTCGCACGCGTACGCGGCGTCGCCCTCCAACACCTCCTCCGCGAGGTACTGGTCGCGCACGAGGTCCTGGAGCGACGCGGGCTTCGCCGCCGGCTCCCGGGGCGCGCAGCCGACCTCGTTCTTCCGCGGCGCGCCGTCGTCGGGCACGCAGACGTCGAGTTTCCCGCAGACGCCGTGCCGCGTCGTCGACACCGCGCCGCACCGCTCGCACTCGATGGACGTCTCCAGCACGCCCCCGAAGACCGCGTCGAGCTCGCGCGCCGCCGCCGCGCGCTTCGCCGCGTCGCCGACGACCGCGGGCCCGCCGAGATCCGCCTCGTCTTCGAGCGCGTCGAGGACGTAGTGCAGGAACTCCGCGGCGTCCTGCTGGTCCGCGCCGTCGTAGGGCGCCCGGAACGAGCCCCGGAGGCTCCGTAGCGCTAGGCCGGGCCGGTCGCTGCCCTCGAGGAGCGCCAGCGCCTCCCGGAGCCGCGGCGTGACCCTCGGAAGCGCGTCGAGCGGCCGCTTCGACGGCGTCAGCGCGGGCGCCGCGACCGCCTCGTCGCGCGCCGGCGGGCCGCAGAGCAGCAACCGCCGCAGGGCCGCCGTCGCGTGGAGCGCCCGGAGGCACGCGTTGACGTAGCACGAGTTGCCGAGGTTCCGCAGCCCCGGCGGCCGGCCCGGCGGCCGCTTCGGCGGCGGCGCGGCGCCGCGCGCGGCCGCCGCGGCCGCCGCCGCGGCGCCGTCCTTCGCCGCGTCGGGCCGCAGGAACCGGAAGAAGTCGTGGTGGTCCTTGCGGATGCCCGGGAAGGACGCGAGGATGGCCCGCAACAATTTCTCGGTCCGCGCGAGCGCCCGCCGCGGCGTCCGCGCGGCCTTGAGCACGCACCGCAGGTGCGGCAGCACGGCGACGGCCGTCGCGGGCGTGCCCCGCGCCGCGAGCAGCGTCTCCACGAGGTCGAGGCCGCCGAGCAGGTCCCGCTCCGCGCCCTCGTCCGGCCGCCGCGCGAGGTTCCGCGCGCGGCACGACGCGCCCAAGCAGCACGCGAGCACGAACCCGTCGAGGGCGCGCGTCCGGCCCGACGTCGCGACGACCGTCGCGAGCGCCGCGACCCAGGGCGCCGTCGGGTTCGCCGGCCCCGCGGGCCAGCGCGCCATCGCCCGCGCGGCGCGGAACAGGCCCTCGTCGTCGACGCGCGCCGGGCCGACGAGGCGCCGCATCAAACGCAAACCCACGGCCTCGCCGTCGGCGTCGCTCAGGAGGGGCAGCGCCCCGACCAGCAGGCCGACGCGCGGCGACGGCGGGTCCGCGACGGATCGAGGCGACGACAGGCGACACAACACCCAGTCGAGCGCCGCGCCGACGCGGCATACGTCCTCCCCGCAGCACGCGGCGCCAAAGTCGGCGACGAGGCGCGCCAGGCCCGCCCGCTCGTCGTGGGCGCGCGCCAGCCACTCGAGGGCCCGCTCGGCGCCGTCGGCGCAGTCGAGGACGGGCGGTGCGCCCGGCGCGGCGACGTTGGGAAAGAACGCGCGCGCGACGGCCGCGCCGACGACGGCGTCGCCGGGCCGCGCCAGGAAGCGCGCGAAGGTCGCGGCGACGGCCGGCGACGACTTTTCCAGGCGCCCCCGCGCGCACGCGAGGAGCCGGAGGCCCGCGTCGCGCTGTCCCCGGTCGAGCGCCTCGAGCGCGGCCTCGAGCGCGACGAGTGCGTCGGCCGGGCCGAGGCGCGCCACGGCGCCGCGCAGGACGCGCGGGTCCCGCTGCGCCGCGAGCACCGCGAGGAGCGCCTTGAGGGCGTTCGTCGTCGCTCCGGCGCCGCCGGGGTCGTCGACCTCCATGGGCTCCATGGGCGGGGGCCGGGGGCACACGCGCGCGGGTGCCGGGTCACGGCGGCGAGGCGGCGCGCAGGACCGGTCGGCGTGCGTCGCGTCGGCGCTGGGCGGCCGCGAAGAACCCAGGTGGTCTGCGGCGCGACGCGCGTTTTTTACCACAGCCGCTGGAGGGTCGATGGAGGGTCGATCAATTGGGGTCGATGGCTTCGTGTCGGTGATTACTATTTCGTGCCCCCCCTAGACGGGTCCTGGTGCCACCAGAGAGGCTGCCATCCTGCGCGCGTTGGGGTAAGGTCTGTTGATCCCTGCGGCAGGTGTATACGCTTCGACCTGCAGGGGTGCGGCGAGTGTTGTTTCGGTTTCGCTGGGGACGCTGGATCCGCACTGCACGCCCTTGGCAAGGGACCGTTCGCCAGCTGGTTCTCTTCGGTCGGTAGAACACATAGGTCGACCCGACCGGCTATTGTCGGATCTAGTTCCGTGCAGCTCACATTGGATTTTTGTTGTTTTGAAAAGTCGATCGCGCGCGGACGCGCGAGTCGAACTTGATCGTTCCGGAAGAAAAAAAATTTTTGTTTGGGGGAGCTGGTCGCAAGCGACCCGGGCTCGAGGAAGGGGAAGGGGACGGTGGGCGGCGCGTCGGGTCGCCGGTGGGGGAGCGGCGGGGCGGCGGGATTGGGGGGTGGCCGCTCGCTCAGATGGGGTGCCGCAGCGGCTGCCCTTCACGCGCCGGCGCCCGGCGCCGCGGACAGCGGGGACCGGGCGTGTGAATGGCAGTCGCGCGGGATGCGCGGTGCGGGCGCGGCGGGGTTGTCATGGGGGTTCTGTGTCGGACGCGCGCCCCCCCCGTCCGACACAGAACCCCCTCCCGCCGCGACACGCTTCGCGGTGAATTTTTCCGTTCCCCAAAAATTTGGCTGGGAGGATATGGTTTGCGATGCGGTATATGTGAAGCGATTTTAGGGATATATAAGTATTGTTGAGTCCGAAGTTGGTCGACGGCCTCGTTCAAACTCGCCGGCGGCGACTGGGCAGCCTCGACGCGTTACGACGTCCCCCTCACCCGAACTCGTTGGGCTCCGCCCGCAGCCCGCCCCGCTCCGCGCGCAGCGCCGCGTACTTCTGGTCCTGCATCTTCCGGGCGATGGCGGCCTCGCCGCCGCGCGCGATGAACTTGCCCGGCCTCGTCCGGTTCGCGACGGGCGCGATGCGGTCGAGCCGGCCCCGCCGCGCGTCCTCGGCGCGCTTCGCGGCGCAGTCGTCGGACGCCGTGATCAGATTCAGGCCCCGGAGCGTCTTCGTCTCGAAGGAGCACCACGCGCCGAGGTCGTAGAAGAGGCCGAGCCAGTCCTCGACCTTGCCGTCGCGGAGGCAGCCGTGGCCGCTCCGGCTCTGGGGCCCCTTGACGAAGCAGAGGCGCTCGGGGAAGACTAGCGCGTTCGTCATCGTCGCGTCCATGTCCAGGTAGAGCACGTCCGCGTCCCGGACGCGCGGGTCCTCGTTCGCGACCAGATACGGGAGCCGCCGCCCGAGGTCAGTAGCGGCGTAGTACCTGGCGCCCAGCGCCGCGCGCGCGTCGTAGTCGCGGCCCACGTCCTCGACGGCCGCCGCGGCGACGCGCCCGTCGCCGAGCACGGTCACGCGGCCCATGGACGCCGCGCCGCGGACCTGGAGCCGCGGGTGGTTCAAGAAATTCGACTCGCGGAACTGGACGCCCAGGGGCCCGAAGAACGCCTCGACGTCGACGAATTCCCACAAATAGTAGAACTTCTCGAAGTGGAGCCCCGCGGGCAGCACGGCGACGCGGCCCGTGAAGTACGCCGCGAGCGCCAGGTTGAACGCGACGAGCGCGAGCTTCTCGCCCGCGTGGAAGTCCGGCGGCAGCCTGCGACGCAACGTCGCTTCAACGTGCAAAGGGCGCGCGTTCCAGGAAAGAAACATCCGAGACCGCTCCGAGGGACGATCGCTCGTCCAACCATCGGCCGAAACGAGCGGAAACCGGCCGAGCCTTCGAAGTCGGGCGCCCCGTTTCCCGCGCCGGCGGCCGCGTCGCGAAGAGGCTGTCCTCGACGGCGACGTAGCGCCGGTGGCGCCCGACGGCGTAGTAGGCGTCGCCGAAGCCGTCGTCGGCGCCCTCCCAGAGCTGGAGCTCCTTGGCGACGCGCGCGATGGACGCGTAGGGCGTCGTCGCGGAGCCGCCGCCGCGGCCGCCGGCCTTGACGTCGTCCGCCGCGTCGAGGTCGTCGTCGCCGCCGCGGACGTGGACGACCGTGGAGCCGCTCAGGATGGCCGGGTGCTCGTGGCTCACGACCGTCTCCGCGTCGAGGAGGCGGACGGCGTCGCGCGGCGGCGAAGCGCCGAGCGCCGCGCGCGCCGCGGCCGCGGCGAGGTCGCCGTCGCCGCAGCCCCGGCGCCGCCGCGCGTCGGCGTCGCGCGCGCCTTCGGCGACGAGGCACCGCAATAACGAGTCCTCGTCCGCGGCCGCGGCGAGCGCGGCGACGCGCGCGGAGTGGTTGAGCTCCGGCCGCCAGTCGTCGCCCGCGGCCGCGACGACGGCGACGTCGCGCAGGAGCCGCGCCGCCGCGGCCGCGAGCGCGTCGGCGGCCCGCGCCGCCGCCGCCGCGCCGCGCTCGCAGGCGACGACGCAGGCCGTCGCCGCGCCGCCGATGCGCTCGGGCCGGATCTTCCGCTGCGCCTCGCCCCGCGGGTCGACGCCCGACCGCGCGGCGACGACGAGGCCGTCGACGCCGCGCGCCGCGTCGAAGAGGCCCTGGGGCGGCGCGGCGAAGAAGGCGGCGGCGTCGACCTTGAGGAACGCCGCGGCGCGCCACGGGTCCGCCGCGGGCGCGGATAGGAACGCCGCGACCGTCGCCCAGGCCGCCGCGTGGCGGCAGGCGCCGGCGCCCGCGGACCGCGCGGCGAACTTGACGCGCGCGTCGCCCGACCCCCGGCGCTCGGCCTGGACGGCCTCCGTCTGGAGCTTCGCGAGGCGCGGCGGCACCTGGGCAGGACAAGAGTGCGAAATTCCCAACTTCAAAGGCTCCTCTCTCGGCCGGTTTCCACTCGTTTCGGCTGATTTTTGGACGAGCGATCATCTCTCGGAGCGCCCTCGAAGCGTGGGTGCTGTTTCCGGAACGCGCGCGCGCGGAACACTCACGTTGAAGCGACGTTGAATCACCCTTGTCCTGCCCTGGGCGGCACGAAGCCCTGGTAGTCGATGCCGCCCGTGCCCTGGACGCCGAGCTGCGTCCGCTCGGCGCGGCGGCCCGCCGGCGGGACGCCCCGGTCGCCCGGCGGCTGCGTGTCGACGCCGCCCGTCGCCAGCGCGACGTCGCGCGCGAACGCGCGGTCCGCGGCGAACGCCGCGCCGAAGCGGCCGCGCCGCTCGCAGAGCTCCGCGGCCGCGGCGCCCTCGGGCCGCCAGGCGACGACGACGCGGCCCGGCGCGCTCGCCGCGTCCACGCCGACGGTCACGGCGACGGCCGCCGCGGCGACGCCCGGCGCCTCGTTCGGCGCGACCAATCGCGCGTAGGCCTGGAAGAACTCGGCGACGGCCGCCGCGCGGCTCGCGTCGGCGACGGTCCAGTAGACGCGCGCCGACGCGCCGGCGCCGAGCGCCGCGCCGACGGTGTCGCGCAGGCGCTCGGCGAAGGGGCCCGCGGCCGGCGGCGCCGGCGCCGGCGCCGCCGGCCGGCGGCGGCCCTCGGCCGTCCAGACGTACGCGCACGGCGCGTCGTCCCGCGTCCCCGGCCGCGCGAGGCCCCGCGGCACGGCGGCGCTCGGCGCGCAGGCGCCCGACCGCACGGCGTCCAGCGCGGCGGCGCGGTCGTAGGCGGCCCGGGGCCACGACTCCGGCAGCGGGTCCGCGACGCCGTCGCGCGGGTCCGCCAAAAGCCGGTCGCGCGCGGGCTCGTGCAGGTTCCGCGCGCACGTCTGCGACGGCGCGCAGGCCTCGAAGAAGGGCAGGTCCGGGTCCAGCGTCGCGACGACCCGCTGCGCCGCGTGGAGCCGCAGCGACTCGGCGACGGCGCTCCGCGACGACGAGTCGTGGTGGTCCTCCACGTTCGCGAGCGCGTGGTCGTGCAGGGCCCGGAGCCGCCCGAAGAAGGCGAGGAAGGCGCCGATGATGAGGCCCGGCAGGTAGTCGCGATACATGATGGGCTACTCAAATGGGCTGCATCACCATCGTCCGGCGCCAAGGCCCATGTTGTCGAGCGGTGCCGAGATGGTGCCGATGGTGCCGCAAGCGCTCGAGAACTGGGGCATTCCGACGCTGTGCAACCTCGCCCGCCGCCCCGCCACCATGGCGGCCTACGAGAAGGCCCCGCTCAAGTTCTGCATCGCGGGCACGGGCGCCATGGGCCTGGAGCACATCCGGAACATCTGCCTCCTCAAGGACCGCGGCTGCACCATCGTCGCCGTCGCCGACAGCGACGCCCGCGGCATGCGCGAGGCGCGGGAGACGCTGGACACCTGCGGCTTCGAGGACTGCAAAGTCTTCGACGACTGGCACGCGCTCTTCGGCTGCGGCGCCGACGCGCTGATCATCTGCACGCCCAACTACCAGCACGTCGACCTGCTGCGCGAAGCGCTCCCGCGCGAGGAGTTCCACGTGCTCTGCGAGAAGCCCATGTGCACGACGGTCCCGCACTGCGTCGAGGTCGAGGGCCTCGTCGCGAAGCACTGCCACGGCGGCAAGCCGTGCTTCATGGTCGGCATGGAGTACCGGTGGATGCCGCCGATCGCGAAGCTCGTCGAGACCGTCGACTCGAAGAAATTGGGCGCGACGAAGATGGTGTCCATCCGCGAGCACCGCTTCCCCTTTCTGCACAAGGTGGGCCACTGGAACCGCTTCAACAAGTGGACCGGCGGCACGCTCGTCGAGAAGGCGTGCCACTTCTTCGATTTGATGCGGCGTTTGGTCCAGGACGACGTCGTCTCCGTCTACGCGTCCGGCGGCGGCGGCGTCAACCACCAGGACGAGTCCTACGACGGCGAGAAGCCCGACATCCTCGACTTCGCGCTGGTCATCGTCACCTACGCGTCGGGCGCGACGTCCGCGCTCGACCTCTGCATGTTCGCGGAGGACATGCAGACCGAGGCCGTGTCCGTCGTCGGCACGCTGGGCAAGGCCGAGGCCAAGTGCCCCGAGTGCACCTTCCGCGTCACCATGCGCTCCGCGACGTCCCTCGCGCCCTCGCGCGTGCCGCCGCGCGACGGCGAGCGCTCCGCCGCCGAGGTCGAGCACGTCGGCGTCGACGACAAGATCAAGGCCGCGGGCTTCCACGAGGGCGCGACCTACTTCGAGCTCGGCGCCTTCGCGACGGCGGCGGCCCACGGCCTCGACGTCCCCGTGTCCGTGCGCGACGGCACCATGGCCGTCGCCATGGGCGCCGCGGCGCACCTGAGCCTCGCCGAGGGCCGCAAGGTCGACCTCGCGGAGATCCTCCCGGGCTACGCGCCCAAGGCCAAGTGAGGCTCCGCGGCCCCTTCCCGGGCCCGCCCGGCGTTCGACTAAGTTCCGTTCCGACGATTTCGAGAACTATGAGGCCACAAGTTGAATTCAGCCTGAGAGAATAACTAGGCTAACTAGGCTCTACTCTATAACTAGGCTTGGATTGGAGGTTTTGAGATCGTCGAAGACATCGGCTGGAACTCCGTCAAGCTCGTGATCCACGCAGAGATCTTTCAAAGCACGGCAGCCCTTCAGGGCCGCACAGGCTTCGTAAGTGATGATGCACGAGTTGGTGTATAGAGAGAGAGAAACCAGATTCGGAACCGCGTTCGCGAGCATGGACACCGAAGCCACAGTGACGCTAGTCCCATCGAGATCGATCGTCAACTTCGGTGCTGCACTCAGCATCGGCAGTAACGCGGCGACACAAGCATCTGAGATTACGGAACAGTTCCAAAGGTTCAATTCTTGCAGACGACAGTCACTGGCGGCCAATGCCTCGATGCCGACGATCGAAAGCGAAGCTCCGCCCAAACCTAAACATGTCAGCCTCGCACAGCCTCGCGCTATAGCGACGAGTGATCGGTCCGTGATGCTCATATTTCCAGTTTCAGCCATGCCCAGGCGTAGCACTTCAAGATTGGGACAATTCTGCCCTATCGCAATGCCAGCAGCATCTGTGATGGGGGTCTCGCTGAGATTGAGCGACCGCAACGAGGTGCATTTCTGAACCAGCTCTATCACTCCCGCATCCGAGATTCCTGGACAAAAATAACACTTCAGGCGCCGCAGTTTTGGCAGATGCACGGCCATCGCGCGGAGCGCGACGTCCGTGAGCGCCTCTTGATGCGAGAGAACGAGCTCCTCAAGGTCCGTGAACATGCGCGCCATGGCTGCGACGGCAGAGTCCGAGGCAAATACCCGGTTGAAATCGTAATTGCCCTGCAAAGTAAGCGACCGCAGGCTCGTACAGTGCGCCATCAGCGCGTTGATGATTGCGTCATCGCTGATATCTTTGCAAGACCAGGAGTCCAGGATGCGCACCGTTTTAACGCCGGTGCACCGTCGGAGCAGCGCCGTGGCCTGGTTCGCGTCCGCGTCGATGATTTCGTGGAGCTGCAGACTGCGCACACGACAGCACACGCTGCCAAGGAACGTGCTGCTCGTCTGGGCCAACCCCATCACGTCCGCAAGTTTGAGATCCGCGACGAGTTCTTCTCCCACCGCATCGAAGACGCGCGCGAAACTCGACCGTCGCGGCCCCGCCATCTTGGGGCGGCGCGGCGCGGCGCGCGGACGGCGCGGCGCGGGGCGCAGACGGCGCGACGCGGCCCGCAGACGACGGTGTAGCGCGCGCGGCTCGAGCAGCTCGAGCGTCGGCCGGGAGGAGGCCAGACTCTCTCGAAGGCAATGCTTCTTGAACATTTCGTTGAACGCCGTCGACGCCTCGCGCTGGAACGCGCCGGCCGGGCTGCTCCCCGGCCATGGCGGCGCAGGCGCCGGAGGAGCCGCAGTACCACAGCGACGACCGCATGAGCACCCATAGCGACGACCCGCCTCGATGCTTGCCGCTCCAGCAGCGCTGGAACGACTTCGCGGCGGGCCTGCCGCCGCCCCCGCCCAAGCCGACGGAGGAGCCGCGGTACCGCAGCGACGACCCGCGGCGCCACTCGACCTGGGGCACGCGGCCCGTGAGCCAGGAGGAGTTCGCGGAGATCGCCGCGGCCGGCGGCCCGACCGTGGCGATGTGGGACGCGTACTTCCTCCAACAAAAAATCGACAACCCGGAGCGCTTCGGCGCGCCGCCGTCGAACGTCTACGACGACATCGCCCGGGACGCGGCGGCGGCCGGCGACGACGGCTCCGCGCTCACGCCGGAGGACGCGCCGGCACCCGACAACTCGTCGCTCGACGACCTGAGCAGCCAGGACACCGCGGGCCGCGAAGCCCAGGCGAAGGAGATGCAGGCGAAGCTCAACGCGCGCGCGGGCGGCGACAAGCCCCACGGCCTCTTCGGCATGATGAGCGACGCGCCCCGCGCGGCCGCCGACGACGACGACGAGGACGAGGAGTTCGACGGCGTCGTCGAGCGGTGGATGGCGCGGAACGCGCCGGAGGCGCTGCGGTCGTGGGCCGAGGACGAGACGACGGCGACCGTCGACGCGCTCCACGCGGACTACGTCGCGATGATCGGCGAGCACTGGTCCAACGTCTGCGACGACGAGGACCTGCCGTTCGTCGTCCGCGAGGACATGGACGTGTTATCGCTGCGGGAGGTCGCCCTCAAGCACATGATCGCCGTCAAGGGCGTCGAGCTGTTCCTCGAGGTCTGCGAGGACTTCCTCAAGTTCAACGAGACCGACGAGGAGTACTTCGAGCGGCACAAGCGCGGCGGCGGGACGCCGAGCTGGCAGAAGCGCGAGCGGGGGTCGTCCCGGGGGTCGTCGCGGCCGAACTCGCGCGGGTCGGACCTCGGCGGCGGCGACGACGACCTCGGCGGCGGCGGCGACGACGACGAGTCCGACTTCGACAGCAACGAATCCGCGCCGGAGTGGTAAACGTTGAGGGGGGTCGGTGGCGCCCTCGGCGCCCTCGGCGCCCTCGGGACGAGGGCGCCGCCCCCTCGTCCGACGCCCTCGGCTGAGGGATTTTCCCCTCGTCCGAGGGAGCCGAGCGTCCGAGGGTCCGAAATGGCCGAGGGCGCCGAGGGCGCCGACTGCGCGCACCGACCCCCCGGAAGGTAAACGTTCGGTCAACGTGTCGGAGGTGCACCTCCCCTTCCAAGGCGCCATGGGGCAGCCATCGTAGAGATGGCCGCGTACTACCGCTGCATCGGCACGCGCGGCGCGTCCATGCGCGCGGGCGCGTCGCTGAGCTCGCCGCCCGCGGGCGTCGTCCTGCCCGGCGAGGTCGTGCGCGGCCTCGAGCTCGCGACCGTCGAGGGCAAGGCGCGCGTGCGCGTCGAGGCGGCCGCCGGCGCGGGCTGGGCGACGCTCGCGCTCTTCGTCCCGGACGGCCGCGCGTCGGACGGCGCGGCGCCGGCGGCGGAGGCCGACGACGTCGCCGCGCTGCTCAAACGCGACGTCGAGGCGCGGCTCCACTCTCAGGACCCGAAAGCGCGGCCGCGGCGCCGGGGCTACGGCGCCGCGAAGCCGACGGCGCTGCCCATCGACCCTCGGCCGCTCCCGCGGAGTTTCGCGTGGGACGCCCACCCGCTCGTGTCCGTCGTCGCGCCGACGACGCCGTCGCGGCGCTGGGCGCACGCGTCGCTCTACGCGTGCTTCGACCGGCAGACGTGGCCCAACAAGGAGCTCGTCGTCCTCGAGACGGGCCGGCCGGGCGACCCGTCGCTCGGCTGGCCCCGCATGGGCTCGAACGGCTGGGCGCCGGCGGCGAAAAAGGCGGCGGCGGCGAAGACGCGGCGGCCCGAGTCCGAGTTCTTCAAAGCGCTCGGCGACGGCCGCGTCGCCTACGTCCACGAGGACGCGGACCACCCCATCGGCGTGAAGCGGAACCGCCTCGGCTCCCTCGCCAAGGGCCAGATCATCGTCCAGTTCGACGACGACGACGTCTACCTCGCGGACTACGTCGACCGCATGGTCGGCGCGCTCCTCAACGGGTCGCCCGCGGCCGCGGCCGAGCCGCGCCTCGCGACGCTCGGCGCCTACTGCTGCTACGACGCCGCGCGCGGCGTCGTCTGCGAGGAGAACGTCGTCACAGAGGACGCGCGCGGCGACCACGTCGGCGACAAGCACAGCCGCTGGTGGGGCTACGGCTTCTCCTACGCGTACACGCGCGCGGTCCTGGACAAGTGCGCCCAGTTCCCGCCGACGGGCTTCGGCGAGGACTACGCGCTCGTCGTCGACGCCGCGGACGCGGGGGCCGCCTGCGCGGCGTTCGTCGACTCGACGGCGGACCCCGTCTGCCTCCACGTGCTCCACGGCCACTCGTCGTCGCGGACCTACGCGGGGCGCCGCGTCATGGGCGCCGACGAGGTCGCGGCGCGCTACGGCCCGGAGATCGTCGCGCTGACGGGCGAGGACCCGGGCGCCGTCGGCGCGGCGATCCGCGAGCGGCGCGCCGCGCGCGACCGCGACCGGGAGCGGCGCCTCGCGCGGCGCCGCCGCGGCGCCTCGTCGAGCAGCAGCGACGACGACGACGGCGACCCCTAGAGCTTAAACGTCGACGGCCCAGGGGTCGAGCAGCAGCGACGACGACGGCGACGAGTCTAGAGCTTAAACTTCACGCCGGCCCAGGGGTCGCGCTCGGGCTGGGGCGCGTTGAGGTCGCCCGCGGGCGGCGGCGGCTGCGCGCGGAGCGTCTCCGCGACGGCCGCCGCCGCTGGCGACGCCGCCGCGAGCGCGTCGAACGCGAGGATCGCCGCCGGCAAACGCGCGGCGTGCGTCTCGATGGCCGCGTCGCGGCCGAGGGCCGTCAGGTCCGGGAACTCGATCTCCGCGAAGCCGAAGCTCTCGAGCGCCGCCGCCGTGTGGATCGTCGCCGACGCGCGTAGATCCTCGAAGTGGTCGCCGTCGCCGAGCGACTCGAGCCAGAGCTCTAACAGCTTCGTGAGCACCGCGGCCTGGGCCTCGGCGCAGCGCTCCGTCTGCTCCTTGGGAATGGACGTGCGGAGCACGTCGACGACGGGCGCCGCGCCGCCGCGCCGCGGCCGGAGCCGGCCGACGGCAGCGGGCGCGCCGACGACGACGGTCGGCGCGTCCGTCGTCGCGGCCTCCATCGCCGCGCTCAGGCTGAAGGCCGGCGCCGCCGTCTTCTTGGCGGCGACCCAGACGTCGCCGTCCCGCGCGTCGTCGCAGGCTTTCCCGTCGATGGCCAGCGCGGCGTCGCAATTGCAGACCTCGACGCTGAACGACGCCCCGCCGGGCAGCGCGCCGCAGGGCGCGGCGCATCGCCGCGGCGACGCCGAAAGCCGGCGCGGCGCTCGGAACGCCGTAGACGACAGCGCGCAGAGCGCCAGGACAGCAGCTCGCATCGCCAAGTTACTGCCAGATAGCGGAGCTCCGCGACTCGCCATCGTCGATCGTATGCGTCGGCTCAAGAATGAAGCTTTGGTTTACCAGATGTTTACCCTTGCTTGCGCTACACGATGGCACGATGAGCGCCGCGGGCTGCCCCCGGCCGTCCATGTGTTGCATCTTCACGTGATGATGGCTCGATGCATATGAGTGTCGTGGGCTGCCGTCCGTGGCTGCGTCTCTGGGCAGCCCTCGTCGCAGCGAGCGCCGCTGCCGGGCCGAGCCGTCGCGCATTGTCGGCGTCGGACTTCAAGACCCACGAGGGTACCGTCGCGGCGCCGCCGGGCCATCGCAGCCGCCACTACGTCTTCGTGCACATCCCGAAAGCCGCCGGCGCGTCCTTCATGAAGGACAGCCCGAAGTTCATGATGGCCGGCGACACGCTCCGCGGCAGCCAGGAGACGGCCGCGCGCAGCCCCGTGACCTTTGCGCGCTTGAAGGCGAAACAGCCGTCTTCCCGCGTCGTCTTCCTGCGGCACCCGCTGCAGCTCGTCTACTCCCAGTTCCTCTACTGCAAGTACGTGTTGAAGCGGAAGATGCCGGGCTTCCCGCGGGGCCGCGGCGACGAGGGCGAGGCCGGCGGGCTGGACGCGTGGGCCGACCACGTGTCCGGCGGCCGCGACGCGTACAAGTGCTACCACCCGCGCGACGTCCAGTTCCGCTTCGTCGTCGGCGCGGGCGACGCGCGGGCGCCCGAGGGCGTCCCCGCGAACGTCGGCGCGGCCGCGGCGCGCCGGGCCCTCGACGCGGACTTCTCCATGGTCGGCGTCGTCGAGGCGTACCGCGAGAGCCTCTGCCTCTTCCGCTGGCTCGGCGATCGACGGACGCCGCCGGCCTACTGCGGCTGCGGCGCGACGGCCGCCTTCCCCAAGGTCGAGCACGCGCACCGGATGAAGTACAACTCGTCGGTCCTCGCGGTCGCGCCGGTGTCGCGCGCGGCGCTCGCGGGGCTCGTCGCGGCCCAGGACGTCCTCCTCTACGTCCACGGCCTGAGCGTCTTCGAGAGGCGCGTCGAGGAGGCGCGCAATGCGACGGGCGTGCAGCTCGTCTGCCCGGAGACGCTCCGGGGGCTCTGGGCCCGGGCCCTCGACCTGGCGTGCGCGCTCCGGCCCTACCCCGGCGACCTCCTGCGAGACGCCTACGACCGCTCCTGCTACGAGTACTTCGACGTCGCCGACCGGGCCTGGCGCCAGCACGACCAAGTGCACGACCCGGGCGTGTGGCAATAACCTGTGCAACGTTCAAGGTGCAGGCAAACACCGCGGTTTGGATCTTTCACCGAGCTATGAACGTGCCGCCGACGCGCAGCCCCGGAGCGCGATGATGCGCTGGTCGTGGGCGGCGCTGCCGCTCGCGTCGGCGACGACGCTGGCGTCGTGGTGCCGCGTGCTGCGGTCGTCGACGGTGCGCCAGCCCTGCTGGGGCGCCGGCGAGCTGCGGCGGCGGTCGCGCGTCTCCAAGGCGCGCACGCTCGGCGAGAAGCTCGCCTGGGGCGCGTCGGCGGCCGACGGGCGGCCCATCTCGCCGTCGGAGGGCGGCCAGGACCTCTGGCTCTGGGACCACCACCTGCGCTGGCTCCGGCGGCCCATCGCGTACGCGGACTTTGGGAGCAACGACTGGCTCCACACGTCCAACACCTACTTCCTCGACGCCTGCGTCGAGTCCGCGGGCGTCTGCGTCGAGGCGAGCGCCCACTACGCCGGCGGCTACGCGACCTACGGCCGCAACTGCACCCTCGTGACCGCGTGCTTGAGCGACGCGGAACGGACCGTCGAGTGGGCCGAATTCGGCGGCGAACGCGGCGGCTCGACGCGGAGCGGCGTCCTCGCGGACAACAAGAGCTGGCGCAACTTCAAGAACAAGTCGCGCGTGGCCCGGCTGACGAAGCGCTGCACGACGGGCGCGGCCGCGCTCGGCGGCCGCCGCCTCGACTGGCTCAACGTCGACGCGGAAGGCCACGAGCTCGCGATCCTCAAGGGCACGCTGCCCAACGTCACGGTCGACGTCGTCAGCGTCGAGGCCAACGACAAGGCCGTCGGCGCCTACCTCCGGGCGCGGGGCTACGCGCTCGCGAAGCGCTTCCGCGTCGCGCGGGGCCACTTCGACGACGTCTACACGCGGCCCGGCTTCGCGCTCCTGGCGCCGGCGGCCTGGCGCGACGAGCGCTGCGCGGCGCCCGGCGAGGACACGGCTCTATCGCCGGCCGCGCCGCCGCGCTGCGGCGTCGCCCGGCTCCTGCGCTGCTCGCTGAAGAACCCCGCGGGCTTCGGCTTCCGAATCGCCGTGCTCAACGGGTGCCTCCGCGCGGCCACGCTGCTCAACGCGACGCTCCTCTTCGACCGCCACACGTTCTACCGCACGCGGGCGGGCTACGGCATCGACGAGCGCACGAGCGACGGCCTGCTCTGGCTCGACGCTGTGTGGATTCCACCCACTGGTTTGGGGGGTCCCCACCAAACTTCAGAACTCTCTATCTCGGTCAAATCGAAGTCGATTCGGCTGATTTTTGGACGAATCGATTGCTCTCGTCGAGTTCTCGAAGCACAGCGAAAGAGTTTGGTCCAAACCGTTCGACTACGCGCACATTGAAGTCGGGTTTAATATTTGGAATCCACACAGGCTCGACGGCGCGCTGCCGAACGGCACGGCGCTCGAGCGCCTCCGGGCCGCGGGCTGCCTCGAGCCCGACGGTTTTGAAATGGCGCTGCCGGGCCCCGCGCGGCGCGGCGGCGTCGAGGCCTGGTGGGCGGCCCACGGCGCGGCCATCGCGCGGGATTTGAGAGATTCGCCCGCGGCCGTGGTCTCGGTCCGCGCCGCGAACTCGAATCGGCGCGAGGGCGACGCGCCCTTCGCGTCCCACGACTTCTCGGCGACGGCGGCCTTCTTCCGGGCGGCGCTCCTGCGCGCCGCGGCGGTGCGGCCCGCGCCCGCGCACGCGCTGGGCCGCTTCCGCGGCGGCTTCGCGAACGTCGCGGTCCACGTGCGCAACGGCGACCGCTTGCCCCAGGGCAGGAAAAGAGCGATTCAAGTTCGCTTCGACTTGAGTGTTCCGCGCAAGCGCGGTCCGGGAAAAGCATCCACGCGTCGAGAGCGCTCCGAGAGATGATCGCTCGTCCAAAAATGAGCCGAAACGAGTGGAAAACGGCTGAGATAGGAGCCTTTGAAGTTGGGAATTTCGCACCCTTGTGCTGCCCAGGCCTCCCCGGGCGCGCGTACGCGAAGCACGCGCGGCTGAACCTCGACGACGCCTACTACGCGCGCGCCCTGGAGCTCCTGCGCAACGCGTCGGCGACGCCGCTCCACGTCGTGCTCTTCGGCGCGTCCGTGACGCAGCCGGACGAGCGGGGGCACGACTTCCTGCGGGACGCGGCGGGCGCGGCGTCGACGCTGCCGGCCTACGCGGCGAGCCGCTTCCCGTCGAGCGCCGTCGTCATCGACAACGACGCCTTCAACGACCTCGCCCACTTCGCCTTCGCCGACGTCTTCGTGGCCGCGCGGAGCCAGTTCTCCTACGCGGCGCTCGCGCTCTCGCGCGGCGTCGCGCTCCGGCCGGCGGACTTCCGGGGCCGGTCGCCGGTGCGCTTCGACGCGGCCCACGCGGCGGCCTGCCACGTCGCCGTCGACGGCGCGGCGGCGTCGGCGCGCCTCGCGGCGGCCCTCGCGGACCCCGCGTGCGCGAACCGCCGCGAAACAGGTTGAACGTGTAACTTGCACCTCTTATTAATAAGGGGCTGCCCGCGCGAGTCGTCGTGACGATGCTGCGGCGCACCCGGCGCGCGTGGCTCGTCGCGGCGGTCGCCGCCGCCGCGGACCGGTCGCCGACGGCGACGGAGTTCGTGCGCTGCAAGTCGCGCGCCGGCGTCTACGGCGCCGCGTGGCTGTCCCGAGCGTCGACGCTCGCGGCCATCCCCGATTTCGTGGACAAGGAGGCGCTCGAGTACGCGACGTTCCACCTGCACCAGTACGCGAGCGTCTCGTTGAAGACGGTCAAGGACGTGTTCTGGACGAACCACGTGAGCGGCTACGAGCACAACCTGTGGCCGCGCTACGGCGACGCCGTCGCCAAGGAGCGCGTGACCGTCATGCTCAAGCACCTCCAGAAGGGCCTCTGCGGCCCGCGGCGCGACGCCTTCCACGCGTCGGCGCGGGGCGGCGCCACGCTCGTCGCCGTGCCCTTCTACGGCGGCCGCGCGCGCGACGGCAACCGGTCCGCGTCCGCGGCGGACAGGGCGGCGATGGCGAACACGGGCACGGCGCACTCGCGCGCGGACCGGGGCGTCAAGCTGCGCAGTCTCCACGCCGTGCTCTGCAGCGGGCTGCGCGTGGCGCGGTCCGCGCTCGTCGGCGTCTGCACGCGGCGCGACTACGACGACGTCGCCCAGGCCGTGCTCGCGCGGCTGCCGCGCGACCGCGCGGCCGTCGAGCTGCTCGACTGCGGCGCCGCGCCGGGCCACCTGCCCTTCCAGCTGCTCCGCCGCGTCCAGGCGGCGCTCCGGGGGGCGACGGGCTCCTGGATCGACGGCCGGAAGCCCGTGGACTACGTCCTCTACGACGAGGCGGACCAGACGCTCCACTTCGAGAGCGGGCGTGACCTCTCCCACGTCTTCGCCGTCCTCGACGCCGTCGGGCGGAGCTTCGTCGTGCCCCAGCGCTACGAGAAGCGGTGGGGCGCGGACCCGGCGCTCGTCGACCAGAAGAACCTGTCCCGGTCCATGAACAAGTGCCCCACGAACAAGTTCCCGCCGATCTTCCAGGACGCGACGTAACGCTTAGACGGGCCCCGGGGGTCCTACCACGGGGTCTCCTGGTTCGACGCGTCCTGCTCCATGAAGCCCTTGGGGTCGAACGGGTCCGTGACGAGCGCGTCGGCCATGGGGTCGCAGGTGCCGCAGGTCGCCGCGCAGGCGTCCTTCGCCTTCATCGACGACATAACCTCGCCGCCGACGCTCCCCTTCCACTTCTTGCAGAAGTGCTTCCACTTCTTGTTGTGCTTCTTGCCCTTGCGTTTGCCCTTGCGGAACTTCTTGCCCTCCGCCCTGATCTCTGCGAGCGTCTCGCACGTCTTGATGTCTTCTTTGTCGCTCTTCGCGTCCTTGATCCAGAGCACGTCGTCGGCGCAGGCCAGGCGGCGGACCCCGGCCCGCGCGGCGGCGGCCGCGAAACCGTCGGCGGGCGCGGCGCGGCCGTCGGCGGGCGCGGCGCCGCCCCGGGCGTCGAAGGCGACGTTTCCGTCGGCGGCGGGCGGCGCCCCGTGACCCCGGCGAGTCGCGGTATCGTGCGTGACGTCGTGAGTCGTGCGGGCGGCGACGAGACACGCCGACCCGAGTATGAGGAGTTTTCGCAACATCTCGTCGTTTTCTCGACTCGCGAGGGCTTCGATATGTTCGGGGGCGCGCCCCGGTCGACGGCGTGCGGCGCGGGTGCCGCGGGGGGGTGTTTGGGGCGGTCGCCTTGGCGTGCGGGCGTGAAGAAGCGGAGGCAGTGCACACCTCAATTGAAAGGTCGACAAAGAGAGGGGATGGTGATCTGATGGTCCGCGAGACGCCGTCGCCGGTCGGCACCGACAGTAGTCGTAGCCGTCGCTCTACGCCGTGGCTATTTACTCCCCGTGCCCAGGGTGTCGAGATAGGACTCGAAGTCGTCGAGGTCGAAGGCGTCGTCGCCGGCGGGCGCGGCCGCGGCGTCGCCGCCGGCGGCCGCCGGCGCGACGAAGTCGAGCTCGTTCTCGAGGTCCGCCAGGAGGTCCGTCGGCGAGGCCGGGGGCGCCGCCGCCGGGGGCGCCGGCGGGAGCTCGTCCGCCGGGGCCGGCGGCAACTCGTCCGCCGGGGCCGGCGGGAACTCGTCCGCCGCCGGGGCCGCGGGCGGCGGCGCCGGGACGTCGTCCGCCGGCGCCGGCGCCGCGCGCTCCGGCGGCGGCGACGGTTCCGGCGGCGGCGGCGCGGAGACGTCGTCCGCCCCCGCGGGCGCGGCGTGGTGCAGGTCGAGGAGCGACGTTTCGCCGCCGAAAAGCGCGTCCGCGTCCTCGAGCTGCCGCACGAGGTCGTCCGTGTCCGCGCTCAGCAGGTCCGCGACCGGCGCCGCCTTGGCGGGCGTGTCCTCGCCACCGATGGCGAAGATGGGGTCCGCCGCCTCGGGCCGCGCCCGGCGCGCCGCGCGGGCGGGCGGCGCGGGCACGGCGGCCGCCGCGGCCTGCGACGCCGCGTTCGGCGCGTCGGCCTTCTTCGCGGCCGCGCGCCGGCCCCGCGCGCGCGTCTTCCGGTCCTCGATGTCGCGCCAGAAGAGCGAGTCCTTGTGGAGCAGCGCGTCGTAGGCCGGGGAGAAGCCGCCCGCGTCGGACGTCTCGCGCGCGGCCTCGGCCCGCAGCCCCGCCTGCGCCGCGCCCGCGGCCGAGCCGCCCGGCGCGTCGTTTCCGCCGTCCTCGTCGTTCTCGCGCTCCAGCGGCGCGAAGATGAGGTCGACGAAGAAGTCGTCGTCGAAGCGGTCGTCGCCGCACGCGCCGTCGAGCTGCGCCTGGGCGGGACGAGAGAGATTCGACGTCGCTTCAACGTGAGTGTTCCGCGCGCGCGCGTTCCGGAAAAAGCATCCACGCGTCGAGACCGTTCCAAGAGATGATCGCTCGTCCAAAAATCAGCCGAAACGAGTGGAAAACGGCCGAGATAGGAGCCTTTGAAGTTGGGAATTTCGCTCTCTTGTCCTGCCCCGAGCTGCGCCTTCGTCAGCCGCAGCACGCCCGTCGGCGCGAAGCCCACGTGGAGCGCCGCGCGGAACATGGACGTGCGGCCGCCGTGCTCGTCGAGGTGGCGGCAGCGCACGAGCAGGTCGCCGTGGACGACGCAGTCGACGTGGAACACCAAGCTCCCCTCCGCGGGGCCCGCCCAGGGCCGCGCGGGCTTTCTTTGCTCCTCGCCCCCCTTGGTCTCGCCCACGCCCACGCCGTCGGCGGCCAAATCGTCCTTCGCGCCGGCCCACGTCGTCGTGTAGGCCAGCCGCCCGCCCTTGAAGAACTGGAGGTACGGGCAGCAGCCCGCGCGCCGCGCGTCGCCCGCGAAGTTGGGGATGCCGTGCATGATGGCCCGCCGTAAAAGCAGGGGCTCGGACCGCGGCGCGACGCCGTCGAGCACGTTGGAGAAGTACTGCACGTAGCGCCGCTGCGACGGGATCGTCAGCCGCTCGACGTCGTCCTTCCGCGCGTCCGCGACGTGCCTCAGCGCCGCGAGCGGCGTCTCGAACTCCCCCAGCCAGGCCAGCACGCACGCCAATACCACGGACGTGCGGCCCCGGCCCGTGAGGCAGTGCACGGCGGCGACGTTGGCCGCGTCCGCGGCGATCCACGACTCCAGCGACGCGCAGATCTTGAAGAGCATGCCGAGGGGCGGCGCCGGGTGCCCCGGGAACTCGAACTCCAGCACGTTCATGTCGAAGGTCCCGTAGTCGTACTGCTCCTCGGACACGTTCAGCACCATGTAGTGGCCCTCGTGGTAGGACCGGAGGTGCGCCGCGACCGCCTTGATCGGGTTCGCCGTCTGCCGCGCCGCCGCCGACCCCGCGGACGACCGCCCGTCCCAGGGGAAGCCCATGGCGATGAAGCGGTCCGTCACGTACGTCAGGTCGATGATCTTCCGCTCCTCGCGGGGCGCGCCCTCGTCCACGAGCTCCTCGAGCGTCGCGCCGACCTTCTCGACGAACGACGCGACCATCGCGCGGTTCCGCTCCGTGTCCTTGAGGCGCGTCTCGACCTTGGCCGCCTGCTTCATGGCCTCGGCCTTGGCCTTGGTCGCGGCCTCGGCCATCCGCGCGCGCATCTCCTTGAAGTTCATGTTCATGGTGAGTGCGGGGGCGGCGTGTGTGTGCTGGCTGTCGGCTGCGGCCGGCGGGGCGTCGCCGGCTTTCTGGTCGGCGACGGCTGGCGGCGCGGCGCGGGGACCGGCAACCGCGAGCGCGGGGCGTGCGCGCGGCGGACGCGCGGCGCCGCGCGAGCTCTCGTTCGCGGGCGGCGGGACGCGTCGCTGGGCAAGCTCCACAACAGTGGCAAGTCCAGCTTTTTAGAGCATGTTGAGGCTCACGATGAGCGCTCAAAAGTGTGACCAAGCAGCCCAGTTCGCATCCAGCTCCCCGTCCACCACCCCGAAGAAAGCGCCGTTCGCGAGGGCGAGCGCAGCTTTCATCGCAGCCATGGTCTGGGCGCGCCGCGCGCTCGCCTTCTGCCTCGCCGCGCGGTCGCGGGCCCTGACGGCGCTCCCGCCGCTCCCGGCGCTCGACGCGGCGGTCCTCCAGGACTCGCACGGCGTCAGCGCGGAGCAGAACTGGCTCGTGCCCGGCCGGGTCATGCTGGGGCGCTACCCCGGCAGCGGCCGGGGCCAGCGGGTCGACGCCGTCGTCGGCGCCCTGCGGACCGCGGGGGTCACGACCTTCGTGTGCCTGCAATCCGAGCTGCCGCCGCAGGACTCCGGCGAAACGAACCCGCCGGGCTTCGAGAGCTACCACGCGGCGGCCGTGAACTTCGACGGGCCGGCGCCGTCCTTCGTCCACTTCGGCATCCCCGACCGGGAGCCCGCGGGCGACCTCGCGAGTTTGCGGAGTCTCGTCGCGGACCTCGCGGCGCGCGTGCTGGAAAATGGCGAGTGCCTCTTCATCCACTGCTGGGGCGGCAAGGGCCGCACGGGCCTCGTCGCCGCCTGCCTCCTGGGCCTTCTCTACGAGTCCCTCGGCGCCGAGGAGGCGCTCGACCGCGTCCAGGCCTACGCGGAGACGCGGACGAAAACCATCGCGAGCCCGGAGACGGACCCGCAGCGGGACCAGGTCCGCGCCTTCTTCGCCGCCGTCCGGGGCGGCCCCTCACATGGTTAGCCCCAGGTGAAGGACTCGTTCGCCCGGTGGTAGGACCCGAAGTAGGCGCCCGAGTCGACGTCGTGGTACACGTAGCGCGGCTCGTCGACGGCGAGGGACTTGCCGACCTTGTCGAAGAGCTTCTCGCAGGCGAGCCCCCCCTTGGCGCCCTTGTTCGGGCCGAGGGGGTAGTTGTTCGTGCGCTGGTGCGCGAACGCGCCGAGCATGGGCACGTGGACCTCGGCCTCCGAGAACCAGGCGGCCCACCAGGAGAAGGTCGACGGCGCGAGGACGAGGGTCGACGACGCGAGCATGAAGCAGTAGTCCTCCGTCGCGCCGGGCGACGCGCGCCGCTTCGCGCCGAACGCGGAACCGAGCCGCTTCACGAGGTCCGAGCTGCCGCACGACGGCGGCGACAGCACGGTGAACGTCGGCGGCGGCCGGCCCGCCGCTTTTCGCCGCTCGGCGATGCCCCGGAGCACGGCGTCGTAGAACTTCCAGGGCACCTGGCCGTGGGCGCTGAAGAAGGGACGCGGCGCGTCGACGGAGCCCTGGTCGCACTCGCGGACGTGGACGAGCACCTCGTCCCGCCCCGGCGGCGGCGTGTCGCCGCAGCGGCCCGCGGGCGCGAAGAGGTGTCGGAACTCGTCGCGCCAGCCCCGCAGCTGCCCGAAGTCCTCGAAGAAGCCGTTGACCTGCACGCACGTCGTCGACCGCGCCGCGGCCTCGAGCTGCGCGCAGAGGGGCAGCTTCGACAGGCGGTCGCGGTCCGTGACGACGGCGCAGTTGGACGCCGCCGCCGGTTTTTTCGGCGGCGGCCGCCGCGGCCGGCCCGCGAGGCGCCGGCCCGGAGGAGGGGGCACGACGCGGTCGCGCATGCCGGCCCAGGACAGGGGCATCTTCGGCGCGCGCAGCTCCACGGCGCGGCCGCTGCGGAAGGCGAGCTCGCTCGCGAGGCGGAAGGCGAAGGCGTACTGGAACATGTTGTTGCCGAGCTGCCCGCCGTACTTGACGCTCACGCGCGCGGGCCGCGCGCCGCCGGCCGCGTCCCGCGACGCGCCGCCCCAGGGCGCCGCCGTCCAGACGCTCGTCGGGCAGTCGTAGGCGACGCGCCGCGGGGCGCCGCAGTCGTGCTGGACGAAGTGGCGGTAGCCGCAGGACGAGCTCCAGTGGCCGCTCCTGCCCGGGCTGCCGCCCTTGGGGAAGGCGTACCGCGCTGGCGCGAAGGCCCAGCCGGCCCGGCAGCCCGGCAGGTCGGGCGCACCGAGGCGCCGCGTCGCGTTCGTCGACGCCGCGGCGGCGGCGCACGCCAGCAGGAGTAGGAACACCATCGTCCCAAGCGCTGGATCCGTTGCGACGATGGGGCTGCCCCTGCATGGACCATGAGCGGCGACCGCGAACGCGCGGAGCCGTCGAGCGCGCTGGCCCTGCCGCTCGTCCTCGCGGTGCCCGTCTTCGCCGCCTACGTGCTGAGCGCCGCGCCGCCGGCGACGGTCCGCCGCGGCGTCACATTCGTGAACCCCTACCCGACGCGGCGCGAGCTCCTGCGCGTCGTCGGCGGCAACGCCACGCTCGTCGCGACGCTGAACGCGTCCGGCGGCGAGCACGTCGTCGAGCTTCGCGACGGCGACGTCTACGGCTGGCGCGAGCGGTCGAGGAAGCGGCCGCGGCCGCTCGAGGACTCGGTGGCGCTCCGCGGCGGCGACGCGCGCGACGTCTACGTCCTCGGCGACGCCACTGGCGGCGACGCGACGTTCACGAACGGGAGCCCGCTGACCGTCACGGCGACGCACCGGTCCGGGAACGCGAGCAACGCGTCGCGCCTCCTACCGAACTCGACGGCCGTCTTCCGCGTGCGGTCCGGCGACTTCGTGGACTGGGCCACGGACGAGCTGCGCCACCGGACCGTCGTGGACTACGCGGGCCACGGCGGCCACGTCTTCGAGGGCGCGGGCGCGCTCTTCGACCTCTGCGCGTCCGCGACGCCGGCGTCGCGGCCCCTCCGGCGGACGTCGTACCTCGAGGACGGCGCGAAGCGGCGCGTCGACGTGCTGAGCGAGGCGCCCTACGTCGCCTTCCTGCCGGACTGGACGACGGCCGACGACTGCGACGCGCTGCGCGAGGCCGCGGAGGAGGCCGAGCTCCACGACGCCGTCGTCTCCGGGCGGCGGGCGTCGCTCCTGTCCGTGCCAGGGCAGCAAAAGAGAGCGAAATTCCCAACTTCAAAGGCTCCGATCTCGGCCGTTTTCCACTCGTTTCGGCTGATTTTTGGACGAGCGATCATCTCTCGGAACGGTCTCGAAGCGTGGTTGCTGGTTCTGGAACGCGCGCGCGCAGAACACTCACGTTGAAGCGACGTTGAATCACTCTTTTGCTGCCCAGGTCCGTGCGGCGGTCGCGGAACGCGATGCTCGAGTGGGACGCGGCGGACCCGGGCTTCGTCGTGAACCGCCTCGCGGCGCGGGCCCACGCGTTCGCGCGGCGGGCCGCGCGCCTCGACGTCGACGCGGGGCCCCACGCGGAGCCGCTCAACTTCATCCGCTACGCCGAGGCCGGCGAGTACCGCGCGCACTGCGACGGCGTCTGCCGGCGCTACCCCTACAAGCGCGGCGGCCGCGTCGCGACGATGATCCACTACTGCACCGCGCCGGGCGGCGGCGGCGCGACGGTCTTCCCCAACGCGGGGCTCAAGGTCGCGCCGAAGGCGCGCGGCGCGCTCTTCTTCGCCTACAAGGACCCGGACACGGGCCTCATGGACCACGGCTCGACGGAGCACGGCGGCTGCCTCGTGACGAACGGCACCAAGGAGATCACGACCGTCTGGATGCGCGAGGACCTCAGCGCGAAGCACCCGTGGCGCGGCTACTACGACGCGGGGATCACGTAGGGAAGGAGGGGCAGGTGGGTGCCTGAGCGTCAACTTGAGTTCAATATCGGGTCCGGGGCAGAGAGCTCGGCATTCGAGCTCAGTCGGCTGCTGCGCGCGCGCGCCGCGGCCAGTCGCCCCACTGCCGCACGCGCAGTCGTCTCGGACGCCGGAATCGCAGCGCCGTCAGACCGCAGCGCCGCGCCGCTTCACGCCGGGCGAGCTGCGCCGCGCCGCGCCGCGTCGCGCCAGCGCCTGCGATGGCGCCGCGATCGAAGCCGCGGGCGTCGAAGAAGAAGGCCGTTTCGAGCTCCACCGCTGAGAAGGTCCTTCGCGAAGAGATCCTCGGGCGCATCTTCGACTACCTTTCAGTCCACGTGATATTAGATTCGGCCGCGACGTGCAAGCAATTCGACGCCGCCCTGTCGCACGTGACGCATTTCTATTCAATGGGAGAAAGAGTTCAACAGGCTCAAGGCCTCTTCATCTGGACGCGTTTGCCCAACGTCAAATTTGTGACTATTGATGTGCATGATTTCGACCTCGCTCTTTTCTTCACGAACGCTGTACGCGGCGGCAAAAAGTGGGTCTCAATAGACGTTTGTGTGTTCTTCTCTACGGAATTAAAGAACGAGAATCGGGTAGTGCAGCTGGAGTGTGATGTGAAGGGCTTTGCCAAGGCCGTGAAACGAGGGGCTCTGCCAAATCTGGACCACTACGCCATGGATCTGGGCTTTATATTCGAGAAATACATCGCACCGAATCCGACTCTCCTGTCGGGCTTCCAAGACATCTATACGTGTCTGCCGCCCCTGGCCGGGGCGATGGGGGCAATTCGCGACTTGGGAGACGCGCAGCTGCTTCGCCGCATCCTTGACAATAGCGACCTCGACATGGACGCTTCGGATAGTCGTGGGCACACGCTTCTCTCGACGTGGTGCCAATTTCCCGGAGAAATGGATTTCGTGTGTGACACCCTGACCCCCATCTTCGAGGTGCTCGTCTCACGCGGAGCCAATGTGAATCAAGTGCGCGAAGGAGATGGGTTTTCGCCGTGCAGTATGGCCGCGGACTCTGCAGAATTTCAAGACACGAAACTGCGACTGCTTCTAGAGCGCGGTGCGCGTGTCACAGCTGGTGTTTCTCCGCTACTTCTCTTGTGCGGCGATCGTCGGGACGCAGGTGAGGTTAACCCAAATGTCGAGGCCCTCAGACTGCTCCTTAGCCACGGTTGTGACATCACGGAGACGGGAGTCAGAGGCAAGACCGCTGTGGAACTCGTTGATTTACATCTCCGTCAAGTCCAAGACCGGCTGTCTGCAGTTCCAAATTCGACCCTGATCAAGAAAGAGCTTTCCGAGCTGCAGTCCATGATGAGCGCCCTCGCACTCGCGTCCACGAGCTTGCTGAAATCTGCACACGAAGAAATTGGCTCGTTGAAGAAAGACGCGGAGCAGCGCCCCGGTGCCAGCAAACGGACGGCCGCCGGCAAAGCGAAGAAGAAAAAGGCGCGCTCCTAACTCTCCGCGCGCCGTGTAAAATTGTTGTTGGTCAAGCCGAACAGCGCATGCGGTGGCAGGTCCTGCACCGACGCGTGCGCGGCCAAGCAGAAGCGGCGGCCCTTTCTAGAGATGGAAGCTACCAAAAAAAGCACGTTACTCGCCGTCCTGGGACTCGCCGCGCGCGCGCCACGCCGTGCACACGTCCGCGAGGGGCGTCGCGGTGGCGACCTTGGCCGGCGACGCGGGCGTCGACGCCGCGCCGTCGTCGGAGAAGCCCGGCGAGTCGGGCCGCGGCGGCGGCGGCGGCGCGCCGTCGGCCTTGCCCTTGGCCTCGACGAGGGGCACGGCCTCGACGGGCGGCACGGCGGCGTCGTCGTCGCCCGCGAAGCCGTCCGCGAGCCGCCCGACGACGGCGGACTCCGGGTTCGCGCCCTCGGGGAGGACGACGAGCTCGACCTCGGCCGTTTTCCGCGCCGCCTTCGGGGACGCCAGCGCGTCCGCGGCGCGCGCGTAGAGCTCCTCGGCGGCCGACTGCGCGGTCGCGTAGACCAACGCGAGGCGCCAGGCCTCGTAGCCGTACTCCTTGACGGCCAGCGCGGCGACCCGCGCGCCCGCGACGGCAAGGGTCTGGCACCGCGCCGACGCGTGGGCCGACGCGCGGTCCAGGTGGAAGCGGATGAGCCGCTCGCGCTCGAGGAGCGCGCGCTCGAGGTACGCGTAGAGGTGGTCGCAGGCCTTCGAGCTCGCGAGGCGCTCCGCGAGCCCCAGGCGCAGCAGGGCCAGGAAGAGCGCGCGGCCCCGGCCCCCGCTCCTAGCGAGGCACCAGTACGCGACGCGCCCGGGGAACGACGCCTCGGCGACGGCGAGCAGCGACGACACGCACCAGTACCGGAGCCACGCGGCGCGCGCGTCGCGCGTCGCGCCGTCGTCGCGGTCGCTCAGGGCGACGCGCGCCGTGCAGATCGCCGGCACGGCGACGGCGACGGCGAAGCGCGCGTGGCCCAGGAGCACGAGGCCCCGGCCCAGGACGTCGAGGTGCGCCATGTTCGTCGGTGCGTTTTAGGGCGTCGCGCGGGTCGCGTCCAACGGGCGTTCGCCGGTGTGTTGTTCTCGGGCGAGCGGGCGTCGGGGCTGTGGTTGTGTGACCGCCGGCCACGGGCCGTGGTCGGCTCCCCCGTGCACGAAACGCCGTTCCAGAGCCGCCCTATCAACCCGATAATCGGGATTTCGCCACACACACAGTCAGCATCGAACATCAGCTCATTGAAGCCTTCATTGAAGCGGCGATGAGCCCGTCTTGCCGCTTCTTGTGCGACTCGCCGCGGCTCTCGAAAGTGCCCGTGGCGCAGGCGCTCCACGACCACGGGCACGCGCGCGCCTTACGCCACGCGGACGCCGCGCGCGGCGCCGGCCGCGGCGACGAGCTCCCGCGTGCGCGCCGCGTACTTGTCGAAGAGCTTCGCGTCGCGCGGGACGCCGACGTCGCCGTTCTTCATCATCACGGCGAGGTTGTGGCAGGCCGGCGCGTGGCCGTCGTCGCAGGCGATCTCGAGGAACTCGCGGGCCTTGGCCGGTTGCTTCGCCGCGCCCGGCCGGAGGAAGTAGCCGCCGAGGACGTAGCAGCTCGCGGCGTCGCCGCCGTCGCAGGCCTTCTCGAGGTGGGCCAGGGCCGCCGCGTCGTCCTTGCGCTTGAAGGCGAGGACGCCGAGGTGGTGGCACGCGGGCGCGTGGCCGCGGTCGCAGCCGGCCGCGAACGCGCGCTCGCCGCGCGCCTCGTCCGCGGCGCCGCCGCGGCCGCCGAGGAGCAGGCGCCCCAGCGCGAAGCAGGACGCGCCGTGCTTGCGCGCCTCGCAGTTCTTGCCGTAGGTCTCGCGCGCCGCGGCGTAGTCCTTGCGGATGACGCTAAAGAACTCGCCGACGGCGTGGCAGGCGTCGCCGTCGCCCTTGCCGCCGGCGCAGTCGACGGACGCGGACACCATGCGCTCTTCGTAGTCCTTCGGCAGCGTCTCCGAGAGCTCCATTATGGTCGCGCGCGGCGGGCAGGGCGGGCAGCGCAGGAGGGAGGCCAGCGCAGCCTCGGTTCTCCACAAATTAGCGAAGCTCGTATTGAACTTCCAAAAAAGCGGGCCGGGCTCGACTGCTCGAGCACCGTCGCCTCCACCGTCGCGAGCACCGTCGCGTTGTCCACCGGCGGCGGCCAGACAAGCGTCTGGTAGTCGACGAAACCTCACTCATCAATAATGGCGCGCCGCGGCCCCGAGGGCTACGGCCTCGTGCAGCCGCCGCTCATGGGCCGCGACGCGCGGCGCCCGAGCCGCACGGAGTCCTTCGCGAAGCTCATGCCGGCCATCCCCTTCGCCCAGGGCGGCGAGTACTTCTCGTCGTCGGCGGGCTGGCAGCAGCGCCTCGCCTACACGTTTACCGTATTGCTCTTCGCGGTGGCCTGCGTCGTCGTCGTCTTTAGTCCCTGGCTCGAGCCGCCGTGCGACGAGGACGCGGCGCGCGCCATCTACCCGAAGCACGACGCGCCGTTCAGCACAGGGCAGCAAAAGGGTGATTCAACGTCGCTTCAACGTGAGTGTTCCGCGCGCGCGCGTTCCGGAAAAAGCATCCACGCTTCGAGACCGTCCCGAGAGATGATCGCTCGTCCAAGAATCAGCCGAAACGAGTGGAAAACGGCCGAGAGAGGAGCCTTTGAAGTTGGGAATTTCGCACCCTTTTGCTGCCCAGGTTCAGCAACGGCCACTACGTGCCCGGGTGCACGAAGGTGCGCTACGGCGCGCTCTTCATGCTGACGCCGCGCGAGTGCGACCTGGGGCGGCGCATCATCTTCGCGATCGCGTGCGGCGGCACCGTCGGCTACGAGCGGCGCCGCGTGGACCGGCCCGCGGGCATCCGGACCATGGCTTTGGTGGCGCTGGGCGCCTGCGTCTTCACGATCACGTCCATCTTCGCCTTCGAGGACGGGCCCATGTCCTGGGACAGCTCGCGCGTCGCCGCGGCGATCCCCTCGGGCGTCGGCTTCCTCGGCGCGGGGTTGATCTGGAAGATGAAGGTGCGGTCGCCGCTGGACCCGGACGGCCCGGAGCACGAGCAGATCCACGGCCTGACGACGGCCGCGTCGACGTGGGTCGCGGCGTCCGTCGGCATCGCCGCGGGCGGCGCCATGTACTTTGTCGCGGTCTTCGCTGTCCTCACGCTCCTCTTCGTGCTCCGCTTCGGCCCGCGGACCGCGCTCAGCGCGCACGCGAGCGACTCGCACCTCGACCGCCACACAGTGGAGGCCGAGGAGGCGGCCGACGTGGAGACGCCCGCGCGGCCGGGCCGCGAGCCCCTGCCGCGGACGCCGTCGTCGAGCCGGTCCCACGCCGCGGGCGTCTACCACCCGTGAATTAACACCCGTCCTGTGCCGCGGACCCTCGTGGCGCGCCGGCCCGCCGCGCGAGCGGCCGCCGGAGCCAGACGCCGCCCTTGCCGCGGACGTCGGCGCCGTCCGTCGGCACGGCGTCGAAGCCGACGCGCTCCCAGAAGGCCACGGCCGCGTCGTCCGTCACGCGCGCGTAGACCGCGTGGACGTCGTCGGACACCGCGGCCGCGCGGCGCCAGTCGACCCACGCGACATCGCCCTCGAGCGCGTCCGCCGCCGCGTCGACGAGGCGCCGGCCGACGGCCCGCTTCCGGTGGCTCCGCGCGACGGCGACGTTCGCGAGCGTCGGGCAGTCGCCCTCGGGCGGCGCCCAGGGGACCGCGTTGTCGACGGCGACGCCGCGCCAGAGCGCCGCGGCCTCGGAGGCCTCCGTCGATAGGCGCGACGCGGGCGGCGCGCCCGGCGGCGCGGGCAGCAGGCCCAGCTCCACGCAGCCGACGACGCCCGCGTCCGCGTCGACGGCGACGAGGAGCGCGTGCGGACGAAGCGCGCCCCTTCGCATCGCCACGAGGCGCTGGAGCACCGTGCTCGCCCAGGCGTACCGCGCGTCGACGCCGTTGATCTTCGACCCGGGCGGGTAGAAGGCGTCGGCGCAGACGCGGCCGACGCCCCAGGCGTCCGCGAGCCGCGCGGGCCGCAGCGTCAGCGCGAGGGCCGCGGGGAGGCACAGCAGCAGCGGCAGGCGGCGCATCGCGTTGTGCCGAGGACGCGCGCCGTCGAGCGCTGCGCCGCGACTGGTGCGACGCGCAGTCGACGCGAGGTGCGACGACGCTGCGATGTGCGACGATGCCGCGGGCGGCGCGGCGCGATGCGTTGGCCAAAGAGCAGTGTTGTTGCATCAAAGTCAACGTTCCCCTCAACTTGACCTTCAGAGGCCTTCCGCCGGAGCTTCATTCGCCGCTTACGCGCAAAAAAAAAGGAGGCCCGGGGCCTCAGGTGGCTCTGGATTGCCGCGTGGGCGCCCACGACTCGCCCGGCTTGGCGATGTGCGTCGTGTGCGTGGACTTGTGCCGTTGCTGCTCGTCGTCGATGACGTCCGGCACGGAGCCGCGCTTCGTCGGGTCCCAGTTCGCCTGGTCCCGGTCCCCGAAGGCCGTGATGTCGTGGGAGAAGAGGGACCGCTGGACGGTCTGCGCCTCCTCGGGGAACGCGGCCGACGTCATCTCCCAGTCGCCGCGCGTGAGCACGTTGACGTTCGTCCACGTGAGCGCGAGCACCGTCGCGTTGCGCGGCGAGTTGTCGACGAGCCCCCGCTCGCCGATGTGGTCGCCCGGGTGGAGCAGCTTCAGGATCGACGCGTCGTGGTTCGCGGGGTCCAGCACCGCGAGCGTGCCCTGCTCTATGAACCTGGGCAGCACAAGAGTGATTCAACGTCGCTTCAACGTGAGTGTTCCGCGCGCGCGCGTTACAAAGAACACATCCACGCTTCGAGACCGTTGCGAGAGATGATCGCTCGTCCAAAAATCAGCCGAAACGAGTGGAAAATGGCCGAGATATGAGCCTTTGAAGTTGGGAATTTCGCTCTCTTGTGCTGCCCTGCTCTATGAACAGCATCCAGTCGCCGATGTCCTTGCGCCGCATGACGGCCTCCGACTCCATGAAGATCTCGGGCCGCATGGACTGGATGAGGTGCTCCATCATGGACCGCGAGATCTTGCGCATGAAGGGGATCTGGCGGATCATGTTCGCGTAGAGCGCGAGCCGCGCGTCCAATTGGAGCCGCGGCGTGAGCTCGCGGAAGAAGTCGAGCGACGACGGCGTCGTCATGTGCTGCGTCTCCCAGAGCGTCTCGTAGTAGCGCATGATGCGCTCGCTCAGCTCCTCGTCGAGGCCCAGGTGCTTGAGCCGCGCGGATATCGTGATCATCTTCGTCTCGTACGCCTGCGTCTGCTCCGCGAGGCGGTGCAGCAACCCCGCCATCTTGCCGAAGATCGTCGCCTGCATGATGCTCCCATAAATGAAAATAATCGAAAAGTAGATCTGCTCGTTCGTCGTCACCGCGCGGCCGTCGCCCGCGACGGAGAGGCACGCCTGGTGCACGCAGTCCGGGTACGCGACGACGAAGCGCGCGTTCTTGCACTTGCCGTTGAGGTAGCGCTTCCCCAGGTAGCGCTTCTCCTCCTCCTGGAGGGGCGCGTCCCAGGCGTAGGCGTTGCCCTCGCCGCAGCGCCAGAAGTCGTCGACGCCCTTCCACCCGCACGCGATCCAGTGCACGGACAGGAGCACGCCGAAGAGCAGCTTCGTGAACTGGACGCCGCCCTGGGTCCGCCGCTCCATGGTCTTCATGATCTTCGACAGCCGGAACAGCCGCAGGAGCTTCAGCGCCTTGATGAGGCCCGTGTTGTCGCTGATCTTGTCCGTCGCCTCCAAATGCATCGAGTTCAGCACCATGTCCAGCGGGATGCAGGAGATCAAATCCAGGTAGAACCACTTGGACATGATGTAGCGCTCGGCGATGACGCGCCCGGACACGATGACCTTGCCGTGCTCCGTGACGCCCGCGAAGCAGAACTGGAGAAAAAAGTCGAACGCGAACATCGCCGTCGACAGCCACTCGACCCAGCCCTTGAAGACCAAAACATCGTCGAAGGTCGCCTCCACGGGGACGAAGATCGCCTGGCAGAGCACGAGGAAGATGATGAACAGGCTCCAGACCTGGCAGAAGCCCGCGTGCGACAGCATCAAAACCTGCGGCCACCGGTTCTGCCGCATGACGCCCGGCAGGTTCAGGATGATCGCCAACGCGTTCGACGTCTCGTCGAGCGTGTGGCCGCCCGCGCTCGTCAGCATGTTGTGGTCCAGCGTGCCCGCGGGCGTCACGGCGATGTCCGGCACCTCCGGCAGGTCGTAGTACAAATCCCGGAAGTGGCGCCGGCACCGCCGCGGCCAGGACCCCGGGTCCCGCAGGAGGTCCCAGGCCGCGGCGGAACGGCTCCGGTGCGCGCGGCTCCGCGACGACAGGTTCCGGGCGTCGCCGCCGCCGTCGCCGTCGTAGTCCCGGTAGGTCCGGAACGACGTCAGCGCGCCCTGCTTCTGCGGGTGAAGCTCGTCGTCCTTCGCCTCCTCGGACGCGCCCTTCTTGATTTTGCGCAGCAGCATCATGACCTTGATCTTCGACTGGAACGCGACGCTGGACCGGTCGTCGGCCAGCTCCCGCTCCGTGACGCGCCGGTGCGTCGACCGCCGGTGCCGCGTGCCGTGGTCGCCCTCGGGCTTGTCGACGATGAGCACGGCCGCGAGCGCCTTTTCGGTGGACGACCCCGTGCTGAACTCGTCGTGGACCTTCTGTTTCACCTTGCCCCAGAGCTTTTTGTTCTTGTCGCTCATCTTCGTGGTTTTGTCGCCGCGCGGCGAGTACTTGGCGGCCGCGGGGCCCGCGGGGTGGACCTTGGCACCGGACCCGCCGGGCGCGCCCGGCGCGTCGAAGGGCACGATGGCCGTCTCCGTCGCGCCGTCGGGCGACTCCGGCCGGTCCAGGTCCAGGCCGAGGTCGCGGATCGACGAGTCGAGGTCGTCGCGCTGGGGTTCCGCCGGCGCCGGCCTGGCCGGGGACGGAGCCCCGCGGGCCGCCCGGTTCCGCGCCGCGGCCTCGATGCGCTCGAGCTTCTCCCCGAGGCCGTCGCAGGCGGCCCGCAGCGCGCCCGCGTCGACGTCGCCGTCGCGGACGAGGCTCAGCGCCGTCTCGAGGGCCAGGTCGGCCGACCGGAGGGCCGTCCGCCACGGCGGCCCGGACGACGAACTCGCCATGGGCGTCGACGCGGGCTGCCGACCTAGCGAACCATGGGCCACCACCCGCGGGACGACGGCAATGCAGAGGCTGCCCGAGGCCGCTGGCCCGCGCAGTCGAGTTTTAGATACTTTTTGCGGAGACGTTTGTCGTTGGCGCTCCCCCTTGGAGATTTGAAGATTGTGGCCCGTGGTGACGGTGACGTTCGTCCCGTGCCGCGTGCCGGGCCCGTGCACGTGCCGGGCCGCGTGCCGGGAGCGCATTTACCGTGCCGGAACCCCCGTGCCCGCCGTCCCCGGCCCCCGTCCCGGGGCCGGACCGTCGTGGGGCCGTCTCCGTGCCAGCCCGCCGGCGGGGTACGTTATGAGGCGCCCCCCTAGCCGAGGAACACGACGACCCCGCCCTTGGTCGTCCCGCCGCCGGCCGCCTTGCCCTTGCCGCGCGGGTGCGCCTTGCCGTCGAGCTTCGCCGAGGCGGACTGGGGCCGCTTCGCCGCGTGCCTGCCCGGCCCCGCCGGCGGCCCCGTCGCCGCCTTGGACCGGCGCGGCGCGGGCGCGAACTCGTCGTCGAGCGCGGGCCGCGGCGACGCGCGCGGCGCCGTCGCCGCGGCGGCGGCGGCGGCGGGCTCCTCCGCGTTCTGCTCCTCGAGCATCTTCACGCGGAGCTTCAGGTCCTGGAGGATGCGCGCGACCTTGGTCGTCGGCCGCGCGCTCCGGTCCGGCCGCGCGCCCGCCGTCGCGGGCCGCTTCGCGCGCGCGTCCGCGTCGCCGCCGCCGCCGTAGACGGCGGTCCAGCGCTCGAGCATGGCCGACGCGCTCGACGCGGAGATGCGGCGCTCGCGGGCGTCGTCGTAGGTCAGCGACGCGTCGTCGCCGTCGTCGTCGTCCTCGGCGACGTCGTCGTCGTCCGGCGAGCCGTAGGCGTCGTCGTCGCCGCGGCCGCGGCCGCCGCCGCCGCGCGCCGCGGCGTCGCCGTCGCCGCCCTGGCGCGCCCGGTTCGTCAGCGTCGCCGTCGCCGAGCTCGGCCGCCGCGCGGCCGGCTGGTGCCGCGCGGACACGTA